CAATCTAGCAACACTGACTTTCGGTGGCCCTCTACGGCCATGAATCGTGGACGTAAAAGGAGACTGACCGGAGAGCATTTGGTGTCTTAAAGCGTAAGGTGCTGTGAACAATACTCGACGGGAAACAAGAAAATGGCATCTGGCGGTGTCGCATGAATCACGAGTTGTACCAAGTGTATAACGGTACATATATAGTGAAGCTTATACATCCGAATATCCGGGTGGGCATACAGCATTCTCCCGAAGAGTGAGTTGACCACTGAGTTCTCTCGACCGATTATTCTCGGCGGCGTTCTTATTTTCTGTGAGTGATTAGTTCACCATCGACACTGCTCACATGTAAATTCAGATCGCATATTCTTTTGAATTCGAGAAAAAATAATTTTAAAATTTGCATTGTAAGCATTGTTTCAAATGTAATGGGACAACTTCGCTGCCGTTTGTAACATTTACCAAATCCGAAAAAAAATGTAGCTGAGGAAACTTTTCATCCCATGCTATCATTATCTATTTTTTTTTAAATTGCATCTTAGTCCCCGCTGACTTAACACCGACCATTTAATCAAATCGAAGGATATTTTCGTTTTCCGTTTTTAGTCTAAATAATATTCACCGCTACGGAGAACCCATTTCAGATTTGCAACAGACATACAAATGAGTACCCTGAGTTCAGATGGAAATAAATTTCAATTGAAAATTCATTGTGCCTATTCGTTCGGCTTTGCGTTCGCCTACCGAATTTCAGGAAGAGAACTTTCAGGAAATTTGAATAGCCCGTTTTTTTTTAAATGCTTCAATGCACCAAAAAGTGTGGAAAATTGCAAGAATTTGACGTTGGTGAAATTCAGCTTCGTTCAAGTTCACGTCTTTTCAGAGCAAAGATTATGTTTTAACTGCTATATGAGAAATTTCTCATCTCTAATTGTCCACTTGAAGTCGATATGTGGAAGAAAAAAGAGTTCCTTGTTGCTCGTGATGTTTTGTAATAAGTAGTTTTTCTTGGGTAGGCTATATTGTTTCGGCCAGACAAAATTGTTTGCTTCCAGCCACTGTAAATAATTTAGTTTTTCTACATCATAATAGAGAACTTTTGTTAGAAAAATTAGGGAATTGATATGACAATGTATTATTGCTTTTGTAATATTTTTCTATTCTTCCATTGTATGTTGTGTTTTTTCATTATTGGTGTTAATTTATGAGAATGATATAATTAATTGTAACATAAGAAAATGCATAAATTAATAGTAATTCAGTGTGAGAAACGTTTTTTTTATATTATTTGATCATAATTTATTACACTATCCAGGCATGGAAAATCATTTGCAATCATTTCATACATTCATTTACATTCATTTGCCTCATACTTTTTTCATCAACAGCATTCCGCAAAATGTTGTATGAAACTTTTGTTCGTTTTGTTATTAGCTACAACTTTTGCTCATAACTAAAATCTGTATCTCTTATGCATCACGAACTAGAGCGGGCAGAACTTCACACCAAAAAATTCTGAATTTTACTGGCGATGTAAACATCCATGCATGCAAACATTCATACATGTAAACTTCCTTTTCACGTAATCTAGCAACTTGCAAGAAATGTTGCAAACAAAAGTGGACAGTTGCATACAACATATGGGATATTACATGACATGTCTCATAAATTTACACGATCTATAATCTAAACTTGTATGATATATGACGCTCCATTTATGTGCATCATAGTAACGGAAATTTACACTACTATTTTTTAGCTGTGTTGTTACTGTTTTTCAGTGAATGTGAAATACATTCACTGAAAAACAGTAGTGGCTTCTGTTCACTCTGGTTCGTCATGCATAAGAGATACGAATTTGACTTGTTAACAAAAGTTGTAGCTAACATACAAAAGCTCTATACATCATTTTGCGGAATGCTGTTCAAGAAAAAAGTTAGAGGCAAATGAATGAAAATGAATGCACACGAAATGAATTCAAATGATTTTCCATGCCTGACACTATCCGATATCTGACTGTCCAGATATCCAGATATCCGTCCATATTTTATCCGGATATCCGGTTGATCCGGATTTTGAATACTATCCGGATAGTTCCAGCACTATTCGTGACCAAACTGTGCCAAGCATTATTTGGCCTGCCTACACAGTCGTTTCAGGGGCTGTTTAAAATTTTTTTTTTAAGGAAACGAGTATGTTAGGAAGAGCGCGGTATGTTCAGCCAAAGATATCTAATTAACAAGATATCCCACTAATCAATTCCTCATACAAGGCATATAGTTACCACCCTTATGTGATCGCAGTGCTATCTGTTGAGTGCGCATTGAAACTGTTGAGAGTTCCCCGCCAAATTTACCACCAGGGCTCAATAACTGAAGGGTGTCAGCATGACAGATGTCAACGCGAACGTTGATGATCAGCCGAGGGAAGAGGACGATATCATCCTCGAAGTCATCATTATATTGCGATAGCAAGATTCTTACTTGTTTGTGATTGCTTCGATTTTCAATCATTACCACTTTTAACGCAACAGAAACACTTGAAAAGACAATCACACATCCAAGCGCGCATCATTATGTGCTTGTAATATGTTTTGCTTTCGAGCGAAAGAGTTTCAAATATACCAGTAAGATGCAAATCTCTAATAGTAATTGATGATTTGTGGAGCTGTTATTCAACATAATCTTAATAAGCATATAAGTAAACATGGGAAAAACCTCTTCAATCTCTCTAAAGAATTACTCTACTGCCACTGGAAATGCAACGTATCTACATCATTGCTAAACGTAATAAGATATGCCGTCTTTTTTGGCCAACGCAGCACGCATTCTATTAAAAAAATACGTTGGAATAAACATTACTTTCCGTATGAAGTATTTGACAAACCCGCTGAAAACAAACGCAAACAGGAGTAGCTAAAGCTGAATGATGACGATGAGGTGACACCGCTTCGTGTTTTGATTTGCGCTGTATCGTGCGCTCAGTTGTGTGGGTTCGTACATGTATAGATGTTTGTGTGCGTGTTTTCTTCCAACGCAGCAGTTCAACGTTGTCTCGTCACAAACCATTTGGCGCTGTTATCTGTCTCTATAAGTTCCAAAGAGTGAAGGGGGTCTGGTTCAGCACTATCTTCAATTTTCATCACAAACCATTTCCGCTCATCTGAATCCAATCAAGATTACTTGTACATCTACGTGATAAAGGGTGAACACGAAATGAATATCACCAAATGTCTTGACGTTTTCAGAGAAGATTCTTAAGCGGGTTATAAATTTGAAAACAAAAAAACCAAAGGTTTAACGACAAACTTACCCAACAAATACTGTGCATGGATTAAAAGCTGAATTAAGCAGAAGAAACATTATTTTACCAGAATAAGCCCTTATTCAGCAGGCAATGTTTGTTAATTAAACCTGTTCCAATCAGGAATACAAAAAGTTGTCTTACAAATTTTGTCCATTTGCCAAAAAGTAAATTTAGCTAATTTAAATAATTTGGTATATTCTTTGTTCAACTTATTCACAGATTATAAAACTTTAAGGTGTGAGAAAAATTGTTGCTTTTGTTTGGATTTAAAGAGTTGAGTTGTCCTGTGCTCAGGGGAATTCAGATTTTTTGTGACAGAATGAGCCGGAATTTTTAAGGGTTCTATCTGACCAACTGCACAATATTTGGAGATGTAATATTGGCCTAAAAAATGGGTAAGCCCCGTGAATCAAAAGTAGCAATGATCAACAACTTTCCTCATATAACCGCTGATTTCAAATTTGAGACTGGAGAACATTTTTTTGAGAGTCGTCTGTTCGCTTGACTGTAACTCGGGTTAAACAGTCCCCAAGACCGTCATAAATATTACTAAAGAATCATCACTGGAAATTTCAAATCATTTGGCAACGTGGTTAAAAAGTTACATCTTCTTATGTCTGTGACATTAATTTCGTGGTCACCCTTTAGCAGCATAACAAAATTGCCAATCGATGAATTTGGCTCTAACCTACCAATTTTATACACCCGAACGATCGAAAAAATTCCATTTTACATCAATATCTCGATAAGGAAACTAGGATGTAATTTTGATCTCGCCGGCTTCTTTTTTATTCCCTATAAGAAGCTTACAATCTCCAGCAGCAACGATGGAGAAGATTTGCTATCTTGCAAATTGGATCTACTAGCTGTGTCCCCACAGCAGTAGCAGCAGCAGCACTCCGGTAAAACATATTCCAGTTTCAGAATATAAAAAAATGTCATGCTTATGCTTACAGCTGGATTGTCGTTCGTGTTCGTTTTGATAACAAGAAAACGTGATTTTTCGGAATCTCTCAACACGTTCGCGCTTTCGAAAAAACAAAAAAAACATTGTTGCAGATATGAGATGCGTTGGATACTGGGTTGGTAAATATTTGCATGATGTCGGTACTGATAGAGCTGCCAGTGTTTTCCTTCAGAGGAGCGATGTGATGATTCCCCGATATCCATGGTACTGAGAGCATTTTATTCGAAAAGCTGCTGTAAATTTAATCTGCCTTGCTAATGGACGATGTAGTTGCAGTGCATTAGTTGCCTGAGAACAGTATGGCAGGAGGAAAGTTCGTTATTTATATTTGATCAAATGTTACTTACGTGAAGCAAATTGGTGCTAAAAGCTTCTATGATTAATTTGGTTTTCGATGTGGAGGGCAAAGTTGTTTGAGATAGGATACATTATTTGATATCGTTTTCTTCATGACTAGTACGTGTTACTGACAATTTTCGTCAGCCTCCTGACGAACCGATCCAGCTGCAACCAGATGTCCATTTATTAATTATGCTTTTTGACAATTAAATTTCCTCAGAGTGTGATCATTTTAAAGTCGACACTTTTTCACTTCCCTCTATAAACAACATGTTTCTTTTCCATTATGGTATCAGCACGGTACGAATCAAAATAGTAAAGCAAAATTCACCCCATCGGCCGAGATGAACACGGCAGCCGAAGTGCGAATTCATCGCACATGCGCCATACTGCGTTTGTTCTATCTCACAGCACCAGCCAGGTTCATGTCCTGCAGTGTGTCTTGAAGTAGCTATATCGATCAGCTGAAAGTCAACAAAAGTCGTCGTCTTGCTTTCCCCAGTAAGACGGTAAACAAGCCCGCGCGACCGAAGTGAGAGTTGTTTGCAGTGTATCGGCTTTGATTAATTTTACCGCATTAAAAGTAACGGTCCTTCTTTGAAGGTAACAAATTTGCTCGATATTCCTGGAAGAGGCAAGCGGAGTGATCCGGCAGCTTTATCAAGTGTGCAGCTTTGTTTTCGGTTTTGTTCAGATTACGAAGTGTGTGCAATCTGCTGCTAGATAGAGTCTTCAATCCCGAGGTGAGTGATGAGAGTAGATTTTAAGAAGACTCGCGAGACAGGAGAAAGAGTGACGGCAGAGTGAAATGAATCTTGGCTCAAAATAGCATCAACAGTAGCAGCAGTGTAGCAGTAATTGGTTATGATGTATATAGGAATATGATGGTGGAAGGAAATTGCGAGTGTTAGTGGAACTAATACTTTCCGGGTAAAAGCTTTCGGGCTTAAGCCTTCCCTACTCAGAATTCAATTTGTTTTTCTTAGATTGTGGATGAATCTGACAGGTTTACGTGAGTTGGAAATTGAATTGCATCGTTGATTGAGTTGAAATTGGGAATGGTAATGCGGAAGCGAAGGTGTACGGCAAACCATTTGCTTCAATGACAGTGTCCCTCGGACCGTTATCATCGAAAATATAGCTCTGTCATAACGGAGTAGGGTAAACAGGTATAATACGCCCCTTTTAGTATACGGTTATATTTGTACCGTTTTGACTTCAATTACGGGGTAATCACGTTGATCAGTTGCTTTGGAAGTTATTAATAACTTGTTATATTTTTTCCTTCGGTGGCAGTTAACCCTTAAATGCATAGTGTTGCCATTTGGCAACATAACTATGTAAGTCTTTAAACATAATGAAACAACATTTTAATAGTAAGCGCAATATATATCATAAGAAAAAAAAATCATAGCAAAAAAAATATCATGCATTTAAGGGTTAACAAAGAAGTTAGGAAAATATTTCGAAAACACCCACAATGCTAGGTTCTTCAACTATGCGCGGCAATATGCCCATTAGAGTGATGCAAAATTTGAAATTTTCGCTCCACAATACTTAAACGATTCCAAATCAGATCCTGACTAACCTCTCAAAATTTGAACCCATTTGGTGAGAAACTGAGATGGCACAAACGATTTGAAGTTTGTATGGGAATTACTATGGTAAAACCAAGATTTTTGTTCATGTCTATCTAATAATTCACCATATCGGTTTGCTTCGAAAACTTTCAACTGTACTTGTAGGAAATTTTCCCAGCTACAACTTTGCTATAGATCATTTTTTGATTAAATGCAAGGATCGAAAGTTATCAATGGTTCAATGCGCTGATGTCTTATGATCATGCTCAATCAACTGATCAGCAGGCAACATTGGTGTTTCTGGGGCGTTGAATAGGACACCAAAATCATGGCTACTATGTCACACTGCAAAATACAGTGTTGCCTACAGAGCAGCTGCTTGATCATGTCATAAGTTTATCAATCTCTTAAATAATTAATAACTTTTTCCTGTCTCGTTTTACATAGAAACGATCTGCAGCAAAGTTGTAGCTGAGAAAATTTTCTATAAGAATGGCTATAGAACTGTTTCGCAGCTCAATATGGAAAAAGACTAGAAGGCAATGAACAAAAAGTTGAGATTTCCCATAGTAATTTACATGTAAACTTCAAATGGTTTGTGCGAAGTCTGTTTCTAACCAAATGAGTTGTAACTTTTGGAGGCTAATCAGGACCCGATTTGAAACCATTTAAGCACTGTGGAGCGAAAAAGTCAAATTTTGCATCAGTCTAATGCCCATATCTGTCATATAATTTGCTACTACTACAAAATGGCCGTATGCTCTAGACACTTAGAAATACCTAATCGAACACCTGACGGAATCCATCTTTGACATAAAGGAGAAGACGCAAACAAACAGCTCATGTACAATTAAACCCAAGTAACACATAAAGCATCTTTTTGAAAAAGAATTAGAACGGCTCGTTGTATAAATGTATTATAGGTTGTCTTATACGGAGTTGAAAATACTTTTAAATAACGATCTGGCAATTGAAAGAAGGCTTTGCTGTTAGGCACCGCTTCGTGATTAACTCTCACCCCAGCAGGCCTGGGTTAAATCCCAGTCGGCGCCGCCGGGATGTTCTGAGGCATACCATCTCTGATCACGGAAGTAAATCCGGTGGTCCCCGGTTCATGAGTTGATGGTTCGATAGGTAGGGTCCAGGTGTGGGAGCTGCCTTCCTGGCGTCGGTAGCATTGGTGCTCAGCACGGAAAACAAGATCGACGGAAAACAAAATCAAGGAAAAAAAATTCTCTTTTGAAGTATTTCACAAATTTTACTATTTTGAAAAATTACACCGGAAACGCCTTGATCTTTGTTACAGAGCTTTTGTAGATGTTAATATTTTCGGGAGCAAATATTTCGTGAGAACATAACCTGAATACAGCCGATGAATAACAATAATATTCCCTGTCCAATTTCACGTTTCATGCGCAAACTTAATTATCATTATTTAAATCTCAACCGCTGAAAATCTCCTAAAGACAACATACCTCAAAAATTAAATTCAACCCCAATCTCAATACTTCCCACGCTTTTCTTCGTGATTGGAACTTTTGGCTTCAGTCTTTGCGCGTCTCTTTTTTTTTTTTTTTTTTTTTTTTTTTTTTTTAACTCTTTATTTGTTCCAAATTCAAAATAAATTACATTTCATTTTAACCTAGGTGCTCCAGTTACTGCAGTAACGTACCAGCCTTAATTGTTATGATATATATCTAAGTGTTTTTACATTGTTCATGTCTTGGCAATTCAGTATTTTAAACTGGTTTTTTAACCTGCATGTCAGTATAACAATTGATATCTTAAAACTAAAAACTAAAACTAAATCTTATCTAAGTATAAAGGGAATTAATCGTTGCAATTGAGGATTGCAACGATTTTTGCCTGAAATTATTAATTATTTTGTTGGACATTTGTGCTAAAGTCTCAACATTCGAAATTCTATGTACTTCGGTTGTACTGTACCAGGGAGGCAACTTCAAAATCATTTTCAGAATTTTGTTCTGAATCCTTTGAAGTGCTTTTTTCCTGGTAATGCAGCAACTAGACCATATTGGCACAGCGTAAAGCATGGCCGGTCTAAAAACTTGTTTAAATATTAGAAGTTTATTCGTCAGGCAAAGTTTGGATTTCCTGTTTATAAGAGGATACAAACATTTTATATATTTGTTACATTTGGCTTGAATGCCCTCAATGTGATCTTTAAAAGTTAATTTTTGGTCAAGTATTAATCCAAGATATTTCACTTGGTTTGACCAGGAAATTGGAACTCCGTTCATAGTGACTATGTGACTACTACTAGGTTTCAAAAACGAAGCTCTAGGCTTATGTGGAAATATTATAAGTTGAGTTTTGGAAGCGTTGGGAGAAATCTTCCATTTTTGTAAATAAGAAGAGAAAATATCTAAACTTTTCTGCAGTCTGCTGCAAATAACACGAAGACTTCTTCCTTTAGCGGAAATGCCTGTGTCATCAGCGAACAAAGATTTGTGGCAACCCTGAGGCAAATCAGGGAGGTCCGAAGTGAAAATGTTATACAATATAGGCCCAAGAATGCTACCCTGAGGAACTCCTGCCCTAACAGGTAGTCGATTAGATTTGGAATTATGATAATTTACTTGAAGAGTTCTGTCAGTTAAATAACTTTGAACTAATTTCATAATATAAAGTGGAAAATTAAACTTTTTCAATTTAGCAATCAAACCTTCATGCCAAACACTGTCGAATGCTTTTTCTATGTCTAGAAGAGCAACTCCAGTTGAGTGGCCTTCAGATTTGTTTGAACGAATTAAATTGTTAACTCTTAGGAGTTGATGAGTAGTTGAATGCCCATGGCGAAATCCAAACTGCTCATCTGCAAAAATTGAGTTCGTAGTGAAGCATCATTCTATTCAAAATTATCTTTTCAAAAAGTTTACTTATTGAAGAAAGCAAACTTATTGGACGGTAGCTAGAAGCTTCAGCTGGATTTTTATCCGGCTTCAAAATTGGAACAACTTTTGCATTTTTCCATTTATCAGGAAAGTATGCCAAATGGAAACATCTGTTAAATAATTTTACCAAGAAAGACAAGGTACTCTCTGGGAGTTTTTTGATGAGGATATAGAAAATTCCATCATCACCTGGAGCTTTCATATTTTGAAATTTTTTAGTTATAGACCTTACTTCGTCCAAATCAGTCCCCCAGGAATCATCAAAAATATTTTCCCGAGAGAAAATATTCAGAAAATCCCGAGCAACCTGATTCTCAATAGGACTAGTAAGACCCAAACTGAAATTATGGGAACTCTCGAATTGCTTAGCAAGTTTCTGAGCTTTTTCCAAATTTGTGATCAAAATTTTACCACCTTCTTTAAGCGCTGGAATAGGCTTTTGAGGTTTTTTCAAAATTTTTGTGAGTTTCCAAAAGGGTTTGGAACTCGGGTCTAATTTAGAAATATTATTTTCAAAAGTTTTGTTCCTCAGGGCAGAGAATCGCTTTTTAATTTGTTTTTGCAAATCCCGCCAGATAACTTTCATGGCAGGATCGCGTGTTCTTTGATATTGTCTCCTACGGACATTTTTAAGACGGATCAAGAGCTGAAGATCATCGTCTATTATAATTGAATCGAATTTAACCTCGCATTTTGGTACTGAGACAGCTCTTGCTTCAACTATAGAAGTAGTAAGAGATTCAAGAGCATAATTAATTTCATCTTTGGTTTGCAAAGGAATGTTTGGATCGAAGTTATATTCCATAAATGTTCGATACCGCTCCCAATTAGCTCTATGGTAATTGAAAGTAGAGCTGTTGGGATTACAAATTATTTCTTGGGATATTTCAAAAGTTACTGGAAGGTGATCAGAACCGAAGTCAGCATGGGTAACCAATTGGCTACAAAGTTGACATGAATCAGTTAAAACCAAATCAATAGTGGAGGGATTTCTTGCAGAAGAAAAGCATGTTGGGCTGTTTGGATATTGAATAGTGTAATAACCTGCAGAACAATCATCAAACAGAATATTACCATTGGAATTGCTTTGAGCATTATTCCATGAGCGGTGTTTTGCATTAAAATCACCAATAATGAAGAATTTAGACGTATGGACGTTCTGGAGGTCACCCTTGAGAAAATTCTTTTGCTGGCCTACGCATTGGAATGGCAAATAAGCAGCTATAAACGTAAGTTGTCCAAATTTTG